CAATTTATATATATATATATATATATTTAGTTATAATTATTTTAATAATAATTAAACCTTATTTTTATATTGCTATTTAATTTTTCATGCATATCTTTTAGTGTTAAAACAAGTACAACCAACAGTTGTTCTTATAAGCTCAAGAACAGATGAAAATTTGATTAAAATTTTACTTCAACATAGTAAGTTTATTATATATTTTGATATTTCAATATCTTTTATATCATAACATAAATGTGTGATATTACTGTCTTTTGCCTGTTTCTTATGATTATATATTTTATTTGATATATGATTTATATTTTTGAATATGTTTTTTGTCACATGTAGCCTATTCAGCTGTTAATTGAAAGTAATAATATGAGAATCTGCTACGTAAAAGAGATCAGTTGCTCTTATAAGCTCAAGAACATACAAAATTTGATTATAATTTTATTATATAGAATAAATAAAAATTTCAGCATTCATTAGATAAAAATATATCTGTTATTTTTATATATGGGAAATATAAGAGAAAAATCAGTAATTTATCAGAAAAATTATAAATTATAATGTAAGATATTCAAACAAAATTTGTTTTTTCTTTTTCTTTACTTATATTTTTCATTTCAACTATTATCATTAAGACTGGTTTGAATTCAGTTTGATGGAATCAAATTTTTCAACATATGAAAAAACTTGAAGGATTTGAGTAGTGAATGGACATTGTAAAATAACAAGACTCAAATTTAAAATGCACTAAAATGTTGAAAAATGGAAAATTTTTTCAAACTGCTATTTCTTATAACCAAAATGTCAGAGTTTTGATTATTTTGATTAAAACTGTTTTTAATGTATCTGCTTTTTCTCAAATAAACTTTATATGTTTAAATATTACAAACTAATGTTAAATATGCAAATATTTGCTGATTATATAAAGCAACTAGTGGCGTGCATTGACATTTGATGATAGGGAAGCTGTGCCAGCTCTGAATAGAATTATTGGAAGTGTTATATATTTTGGTGTGTAGCTTCCACCAACTAAACCGCCTGAGGTTGGTTCTCTGTAAAGCGCATGCGCAAATGCCTATAATCTGGCTGCTTTACACCGTTCGAATATTTTTGCCATGGAAGCTATCCTCTATTCGACTAAGGCACTTCCATTGGAAATATGCATATACAAATTTATATTTGAATATGCAATAGCAATCTTATCATTTTTTTCATATGTATAGAAATTTGTAATAAGATATATAATGCGGTTATAATAAAATATTAATTTTAATTAATTCAAAGTACACTAAAATATGAAAATAATTGCACAATATGTATTTACATTTTAGAAAATACAAGGGAAGCAGTGCTTCCACAGCTTCCATGGATGGCATGCTGCTAAAAGCAACCACTTATGTAAAGGTGATAGAGCTTCTTGTACAGTACCTCTCAGTTATCAGGATGATGCAAAGGTTAAATTAGCATGTGAAGGGTGGTGGTGGACACTGAGACAAAGATTTTGTTTACCAATAATTCATTTATTTGGGGTAAGGAAACAGTGATTACAGATAATTTTGTTCAGAGTTGTTCCAGATAAAGGAGTAATTGTTGGTTGACAGAGGGTTCCAATTAGTCCTTCTCTTCTGTTGAGTAGGTCCCTGTTGGGTTGGCCCCAGGGCTGCTGATGTACAGTTTTGTCATTGTTGAGGGTAGATCTGAAGTTTGTTCGAAGGATTATTTGAAGTCTGCTTTTCAATCAATCCTTATTCTTATCCCTGATTTATCCTTGATTGGCATGTCTTTAACAAAGATGTATTCGTACTTCTGGCCACAATCTAACTCTAACTTATTTTTTTTCCTACCACTCTGTCTTTGGAAACATGAGTTTTTTAGGGATTTTGATCCAAATTCCAACATTTGGATTGGCTCCAATCTCTCTTCTTCCTTCTTTAATTGGCTCTCATCTCATTGCTAGGGGCCAGTTTCAGTCATGAGAAAGATAGACATTATATGATATTTATGATATTCTATGTATTTATTGAATATAAGACAGGTTTAAATAATGCATTTATTATTTAATTTAATTTGTGAAAATTTCTTCCATAAATAAAATATTCTGTTTTTCATTTTTTTTTAGAGAATCTTACTGACTTAGAAGATATGATGACTAATCAGACAGATAAATTTATTCAGTTTCTACCATATATTCAGTTTTGTAGGTATAAGTTGATTAATTAATTAAATCATTAAATAATTAATATCATATTATAAATTAGAATTTTAAATGAAATAATTATGTATAGAAGTTAGTATTGTAGAACTACATAAATTAGAATACTAAAATTATAAAAATTATAAACTAAAATTAAAAAGATAAAATTTCACTTAAATAAATTTTACATGAAAATGCTGTGTAGAAAATACAATTGAAATAGCAGTACAAATTCAAACATTTGAACATTTTGAAAGTTACCATGAAATTCACCAATTCTTATGTTAATTTGATGAGTCCAACTTGGAGTTTCAGTCGGCTGATGATAATGAAATTAAAAACACCAAGGAAATCACTGCACTTTACTTTTATTATTTATTGTTCAATTTTGACACAGTTGAATAGACAAAATTCAATATTTTGCCAAACATTAAATTTCATTGAGTTTGAATAAAATCATAATGTTCAAAATTAATTCCATGTCGTGTAGATGAATTCCTTATGTGTGTGTCGCTTTCCAATTGATTTTATTCCATTATTAGTTTTAAATGTTACTATTATTAAACTTATCTAATTCACTTTCCCTTATTTAATTTTTGGAGAGGTTGGAGATTAGATTTAATATAATTTAATAGCTTTTTAAAGAATTTTCAATATCATAAAATTTTAATTGAAAACATTTTTAAAAATTTTCTAAAAGTTTATACAAAATAAAAGTTTATAAAGTACACAGTATACTGATTATCTGAGTTTCTGCATTATCCAATATGAACCCATTACTTTTCCAATACTATAATTCATAAAAGAAAGTTTAAAATGATAACATATGTTACAAAATGATTGTTTCTGTTACCTTTTATCATTTAACTTTGAGACAAAATTATTCATATTAAAATGTAACTTTATAATACACATTTTTATTCTTAAAACCCATTTTATATATTATCTATATAATAAATTATGTAACAATTGTTGTACTTATATATGATTAAATTCAATAAGCTATAAAAAGATGCTAAAAGTGGTAACATATAAATCTTTTATATTCATAATTTTTAATATGAAATGGCCTTGGCCATCCATTTTATCCAAAGTTTTCAGTTATCTGAGGTAGCATCAATCCACATTACCTTGGATAATCAAGATTCTACTTATTTAATAGTAGTCAATCTCAGCACTGAAAACCAAGTGCCCAAACATTTTCAACACTGGCCAGAATGCAAATGTTATCTGAGACCATACAGAAACTATTGCTATCATATATGAGTGAATCTTCATCCCCAAGATGTCATATGCCATGGCAGTATAGTACACAGCAGCAGAAAAGACATGCATTCAATGTAGGCTTGCTTAGTGCACAAAGAGGTGTGGTATTGAGAGTCACTAATGTGTATGGAACAATGTTGACTGAAGCACTCCAACTGACTTTATCTTAAAAGAACAGTTTAGTTACAAGAGTAGAAAAGTGCTTCCAACTGTAATTGGTGGAGAGAGCTTTGTAAAGTACTATGTTATTTATTATACCTATTTACAACGATTATCGACATGACTGTGTGTCAGAAATAGCCGTTTACCTAATGGGTACTTTACGTGGATTCGTGATTATGTGCCAGGCCTGGACTTTAAGCGTGCACTGGAAGAAATAATTATAAAAGTTAGTCAAAAAACAATCCAATATTTAATAATAATTCTAGTAATGACTATGTACAAAATTTAGTAACAATCAAACAACAATAATACTCAACCCAACAAAACTCAAATCAATCTATTTGCTAACTTAAATCTATTCCCCATTGGAATTCGACAAAAAATTCAAAGACTTAACCTATGTACAACAAGTCTTATGAACTAAGGTCCTAACGGTCGTCTCAATATACTAGGAACCTTTTCTCAAGCCTCAAGACTTTCCCCAATCTTCGATCCACAAATTGAATAACTTCAAAACGCTATGGAACACCTTTATCGCTATCGGACACCTCTGTTGTTTGCTGCTATGAAGCTCACCATGCTCATTGCTAACAGAAGCTCATCTCGCTATGATACCAGAAGCTCACCTCAGTCATCTTCACTTGAGGTATGCTCTTTATACTATGAGGTGATGTCACAATTCTGATTGAGACCACTCCCCTCATTTACATACAGTACTTATCTTTAACATTGAACTTTTCCTTTTTGCCAGTCGGCCTATTTCCAGACAATACTCGCTAACCTTTTACGTTATTGTTTTTTGACAATTTTGGGATGTTTTATTCTTTAAGGTTTAGCAAGTTCCTGAGTTGTGCTTGTGGGGTCCCCCCTTCTTAGTGCAGACTTACTTTTTTCCGCTCAGGAGTGCAAGATGTGCGCGAGTTTTTTTTCTATGGCGCTTCTTCTCGTTGGTGAGTTGGTTTTTTTCTCTTTCTTCTGTTTTTAAGTTTCTAAGGTGAGTGGTGAGGAAACCTTCGTCCTAACAAAACATAAGCCCCAAACAAAAATAGAATAAAAAGCAAAATAAAAAGTAACTAAAATTAATGCTCGGACTTGATTCCTTACACCTTTACAAATAATGACTATTACTTAAAACTGACTATGTCAATCATTCCAAGACAATACAAACAAGTTACTGTAAAAATTGCCAAAGATATGAAAGAAGAGCAATTAAGTTTTTTATGGATGTATATACAGATTAAAATTAAAAGTTTTTATCATCATGTCATTATCTTCTGGTTTAAATTCAATCATTTTAACTGGTGTCTTAAAGTGAATATTTTTCAAGAATCAATTAGCATTACATCCTATAAATATCATCCATGTATGTGACTGCAGGCCCACAGTGGCCAAGCGGTTCCATTCCCTGAACACTGGGAGTTCAGTCATGAGTTTGCACCTTGCCAGGATGGGCTGGCCATGTGGAGTTGTCTGGATTCTCTCCACATCTGTAACACCTGAATAGGGGCCAGTTACTCTTAAAATGACCCTTGGAAGGCATTTTCCCTAGGAAGATCACCCAAGTGTTTCATTGCCATAACTTACAATCACATACTTGTTTATTTGTTTTGTTAAGTTATTGGCTGATATTGTATCCTGGATAGATAATTAGCAGCAAAATTATTTTGATCTGTAAAATGTAGGCTGACCATAATTTCTTGATGCCAAACATTTAGAGAAATAGAATGAAAAAGAAATTGATTTAGCTGACAGATGAGACAAAATATTTAATAAAATGCATGAAAAGTATACTGAATTACAAGATTTTAATAATTTGAAAGATTTAGGTCTTTTGTTTGCCAGAACATAGTTCTGTAGAATGGAAATTCATGAGTGAAAATATTCAATGGTCAAAAAAATGTGCCACAATTGATACATACAGGTCCTCCATTAAAATTACATCAAGAAGTATAAATGACTAAAAATTTATTAGTACATTATTAGTGGTCTTAATTTCGTGGTGTAAAAAAAGAATACATAAATTTCTCTCAAAGATTTTAGCCCACACATGGCCAAGTGAATAAAACCACTGAATACAAGTAATTTATCATGGGTTTACACTTTACCAATGAGGGCTGGTCATGCAGAGTTTTCCAGGTTTTCTTCATGTATCTATCATAATATCTAAATAGGGGACAGTTTCTCATAGAAAGTCCTCCCAGGAGGCATCCCATTAGCAGATTGCCAATGTATTGCATTGATTTATCTATCAATTCAATCCTAAATGATTTTATTTTTGAAAATTTAATAATTCAGAAAAATTATTTTTATTATAATATGTAATGTTAGATTTAATAGTTGGTTTGATGTAGAAGATTTTCCACGATCAGACCAGCACACTTTTCAGATGAATTTATTTTATTTAATAAGCTTTGGTCACTTGTAATTTTATTAAAAAACTGCTGGATTTTAAATTCACAATTTTGTTTTATAATTAACAATACTTATGTGGCTTAAACATTTAATCTTAACATTTTTTTGACCATTGAATATTTTCACTCATGAATTTCCATTCTACAGAACTATATCCTGGCAAACAAAAGACCTAAATCTTTCAAATTATTAAAATCTTGTAATTCAATATACTTTTCATGCATTTTATTAAATATTTTGTCTCATCTGTCAGCTAAATCAATTTCTTTTTCATTCTGTTTCTCTAAATGTTTGGTAATTATTGTCTTTATTAACGTCCATTAATAATTTTATCTGCTTCTGTACATGTAACATATTCATTAAATTTGTTGCAACTATTGTGTATTTCTTGTAATCCAGATATCATCATCAGCAGTATTTATTCAAATTTATGACCTTTATCAATGCAGAATAAACATTTTATAATAGTAAATCGTGATTTTAGAACACAAAGTGCAAATGTGTTTAATATACAAACTAGAGGCTAAGTGTTTTGATTTTCAAAAAATGAGACAAAAGTGAAAATTTTATTAAATCAGTGGATTGATCAGGATAGATTAAAAAACAGTATGGATCTTTAGCCTATTAATAATATGACTTTTGTAATTTCTGTTTGGCAGTTTTTAAAGTCTATCTTATTTATTATTATATTATTTATGATTAGACAATATTTGATACTCTGATCATTCTATTAAATTATTATTATTGGTTTTGTCTTTTATGTCTAATATATCTAACCATAATAAAAGATTTTTATTTAAAATGATAAAAAGCCATAATGCTAAATATTAAAATGATAAATATTCTTTTTCAATGATATATTTACTTAATAGTTTAAGTAAAAAACAAAGAAAAACATTATTTAGATCATTTAATGCCATTGATTTTAAAATTCAATTTATTTGAGAACCTGTCAATATTAATAGATTATCTAGCATTATTGATAAATTTAGGATGATTAATCAGAATTATATATTTTATTCTTATGACTTGTTTTAAATCAAAGTAGATTTTTTCATTAATATATTAGTTTATATTGTTATAACTTAATATAAACTGTTTTCATATAAACTTCTCTGTATTTTATTTCCATTTGTTAAACAGCATATGAAGCTGCAAGACATTATTTAAGATTTTTGAATATACCTTCTATCCCTAAAAACTTAAATGAAACTGAAAAACATATCTATCTTTCAGCATTAATAAATTTTACAGATATTTCATTGGTAAGTTTCATATTTTATTCTAAGATGTAAATGTAAAAATAATATATAAAAATTTTTAAAGGTACGATCATGTGGAGCATTATTAAATTATTTGCAAAAGAAAAGAATTGGAATACAATTAGAAGAAGAAAGTGCTTCTGTTCCTATTCTTGGAATAACTGCCTTTTCATTGTAAGAATATAAAATCTGTGCCTTAAGTATACTTTAACTTTAATTATCAAAAGCATCTCATAATTAAATATTCAAATATGGAGTCATTTCAAAATATAATATACCATATTCATCAAGCATCTCTATGAATATGAAAAATCTAATTCTTAGAGATGCTTGGAAAGGATAGACATTCTATCAAAGATGCTAACATTATTTATGTTATATTGTTTTAAAAGAATATATATTTGAATTGATTGCTATTATTGGGAAATAATGATGAAAATTTATTTATATCACCAAAGTTAGTTGTTATGTATTATATAGAAGAATATTAAATTTTAGTATATTCTAGATTCTAACAAAGCTAAGATTGATTTTTATAGTTTTTACATAATAGCTAGTCAGAATTTAGAAATAATAGAAAAATATAAAATTAACTACTGTCTTAAGAAACTTTTTAATACGTGTTATATATGTATTAATGATGTGTGAAAAACATGATATATATCATGTTTACACACATCATTAATACTAATGTGTAATGTGTATATATATATATACACATTATATATATATATTCGTATTTCTGACTGATATTTACACTAATCTTTAACAATTCTATATATTTAAACAAGAAAATATTCGAATCAGATGAGAATTATTCAAATGAATCATAGTATTTAACGTGTAAATTTACATTTTATATTCATAATTAGTTAATTTGTTCAATAATTATTGATATACTATAATAATTAAGTCTATTTGATCTTTAAAAATGATCATTTATAACTCTTAACAATAATAAAGATCTCAATTACTTTTTAAATTAATAATTTAATTCATTATTTATTAGATAAGAGTTACATTTAAAAAAGATTATATAATTTTTTTTAAATATTATAAAATAATTTGTTATATCAATTAAATTATAGTTTAAATTACAAAAATAAATGTTAAAAAAGACTTACTTGTGTATAGGCATCACATTTTGACATTCTTCTGATTAATGGGAATTGTAATTCAATATTCTTTAATTCTACATCATCCATTTTTATTCCTAAAATTATTTTATATTAATTAAAATAACGTTAAAAAGTAATTAATTTTATTATATATAAGTTCTAAGCTTATATAAAATTTTAAATATAACTTCTGAAGCGGGTGTGTTATCTGTGAGTAAGGATTTCTGTACGATGGACGTTATCAATCGGAAATTATCGACTCTAGAAGGATACCTGNGTAGCGCCATCTGTTGGACGTAAAAGCCTTAACCTAGATTATATATTTTAATTTATATGAATGTTTAATGGAATAATATACAGCCTATGTCCACCCTGAGGTTCCATTCTAAATATTGGTGAAAGAATTTTTGAAATCGGATGAGTAGTTTCGTAGATTACCTGCTGCAAACATACATACATACATACATACATACATACAAACAGTGGTGATATTCGAAATATTCAACAAAGGGTTCGCTAACAAAATTTTTCCTTAACATTTTTTTTTTTTGCTCAAATGGTGCATCAGCAACATTAGCACAAAAACTGACCTTAAGATACCCATATAAATAAAAAAGATGCATTCACAAAATTAAGCCAGTTAAAATTTAACATTGTTTATGCCAGAGCTATATTTTTTTTTTTATAAATAATAAAAAAGTGTTCAAAATGGTTTGTTTTGTATATATTTTATTACAACACGTGTTCCGCAGCCATCTTGTATTTTCTTGCGCGCGTGGGATTGTGGGATCTCTCTTATGACTGGATTTAGTTTCAAGAACTCTCTTGAGTCGATCGCAATTGAACCTCATTTCAGTTGAGATTGAAATGGTCGAGGGAGGTCGTACCAAGGCAAACGGGGTATAAGGCTCTAGTTTAGTAGTGTTACAGAGTATAATACGTATATTTTAATATATTTTTTAAAAGAAACAAAACCACTGAGAAATGTTACGTGTGTTCAACAAGGTTTGGAAAACTTTGAAAATGTTAACAACGGGTTCGGCTGAACCTGTGCGAACCCACTGAATATCACCACTGCTTACAAACATTACCTCTTTATAATATTAGTATAGATAAACTACTGAAATATAATGACAGTCTGTTATTTTGAAATTTAAATATACAGCAACATTGCTTATTCTAATTACTTTGATGAGACTTATCTATACTGATAATGATAACTGATCAATAGCATTAACAGAATAAGTCTACAGTTACTGAAAATTCTAGTTTTATTAACTGACATTAAAAGGGTATGTTAATACTATTAAATTAATAATATATATCCATAACAAAACATAATTCTTTGCATTTCCTTAGTAAAGCATTCAGAATAAATCTAGACAAGGCAGAAGCATTAGTCATTTCTTCATCATACAATTGTTTCTCTCTAAGGCACTTGCAGGTATACATCATGCATATTTCCAGAGGTATATAAAGAGAGTGGGAGAATTGTAAATGGCTTTAACAAATAACTCAACAACAGTCGAGCTGTTCTACCATTACCATTTTGAAATGGATGAATGTACAGAAAGTTTCCAAAGAAGCAGTTTGCCTATTTAATAGCTTGGAGAAAGTCTTAAGTTAGGGTCTGAAAAAAACCCTCCTACATTTATCAAGCAATTTTTCAAGATGTGTCTCAATGTGGTCAGGACCCAAGTACCAAAAGTTCACTTGTGCTGGCTTAGCGTACTTCTTCCCGAATTCTCCAGCATCATCTACCACACCATTTCCCACTTGATAGTGAATATTCTTGACAAAGTTCACATCAAAGCTGTCCAAGGGAGATTTTTGGAAAAAGAGAACATCAGGAAATAACGCTTTACTTGCAGCATAAATATTACGCAGTTTCTTCACTAGCTGGTACAATCTTGAATCATGAATCAAAGAGCCAGTAATACCACATCCAGACAAGCAGTGTTGAGCAACTTTTGCACACCATCAAATGTCAATTTCACATTGCTTTCACTAGTGACACACTAACATATATTTGGTATGATGATAGTCTGAATAACCTTTCCAAAATTCAGGATCTCTTAATATTACTTCTGTCAGTTTTTTTCAAGTCAAAGATCTTGCATGTTGTATCAACCCCTGTTTTGGAGTAATGTGGAATCCACCAAGGTGCTTCGGTAATTTCAAATTGATCGTTGAACATGTTTTGCTTATAAATAATACAAAAGTTAAGTATATGTGTAAGTTACATCATTACAGTTTAATAAATTGTAACTTTTCTGTGCCATTAACTACAACAATCAGGGTAAGAGTAGATACAAGGTGATGTACTATGCAACTGACTTCATGTGCAGCAACAATACAAATAACCTGAAATAAACAGATATTAGCACATCTCCTTCTTTACAGGACTTTGTACAGCAAAAAAGCCCTCAAGTTAGGTACCGAGAAGACTAACACATTTTAATTTAGTAGGTAATTAGTGCATATACTCCTTTTCTAGCAGGATCTCTTCCCACAACCAGTAGCTTTCTAAAAGGTACAGAATTATACTATCTTACTTTAAAAAACACTTTACTGTAACATTATGATGCTTTACTGTAAGTTTATTAGCAGGAACTGAAACCCAAACCAATATTCCAAAAGATTCCAGTCCCTGATGACCATACATTATTCCCTGCATCCACGAAGTGATGTGGACAGACTGTACCTGCCTTGAAAAACTGGTGGCAGAGATTTACTACAAGTCAAACAAACTGTAGAAGAAGAGAAACATGCCATCAGGGAACTGAAACCTTTTGAAATATCAGTTTGGGTTCCAGTCCCTGCTTATTAGCCTAAATTATAAATATTGAATCTGTCAAGTCATATTACAATTAACCAGTTATATCACATATTACATGAAAATGAATTAAAAAATGAGGTGTGACAAAATTTTATGGAGACTAAATATAAGTAAAACTGCATTCAGTAAATGGTGAGAATTAATTAACACAAGACCAGAAAAGGCTAAATACCTTGGTGTGTATTATGTTCAACTATGCCCGTGTGAAATTAACAAACAGACAAATCCTATTCAGATAGGAATAGACTTCAACAAAAAGAAAATTGACAGGTGCAACGACATAGTAAACAATAGAGACTTATCCCCAGCTAGCACTAGTCCACACCCAAGCACAATTAGCTATGACGAAAGAACTGTAACAACTTTACCCAACAGAAAGGAGACAATGATGAAAACAGCTTCTGAACAGCCCCCAGAGAAAGAGGAGGGAGAATCTAACCAAATGATGACAAACTCAAATAAATCAGGATTTCGACAATCACCAGTATGAATATGAATACCAGTACAAAGTCTAAATCTTTAAACGAACAAGTTTTAAACAATATTTTATTAAGCATGGGAAAATTGTTATGTATGTAAACCTCCAGGGGATAATCCACACTAAATTGCCCCTTGACTTAGTTAGGCAACCCTGTACCTTTTGACTTTAGTCATGTTCCTTTGTCTCCAGGCAGTTGTGATTAGCTGTGGTGGCACTTAGACCTGGAGGCACAAAGATATGTTTGCATTTTAATAAAGTTAATTATATACGTTAATAAGAGTCATTTATTTTACGGACATAACACTGATTAAATGAATAAAATATATTTTATAATTATTTGTAGCAATGGCATTTAATATTAAATAATATGTTGGGATTTGAAGTCTGATTAAATGAAGAAGGTTAGGTTAGTCAGTTTTTCTAATTGTTTACAGAATATACAATTAGCATATTTATATGCAATACTATCAGTTTTGCCTAACATAAATTTTATTTCCATGACTGTATATCATTACAGATCACTATTGTTATGTTCATAAAATAAGTAAGTCATCATCATCATAGACAGGCAACTTATGCTTAACATTAAATAACTTTTTATTGGGTTTAAAAATTTAATGAAATTGTTTTAGATCAAGCATAAAAATAGTAATTTTTTAATATAAGAAATATACATTATTTAAATAAACTTTGAATTTAAAATTATGCAGAAATATTTTACATAAATTATTCTTATTACTATATACTATTTTAAGTTGAAAATATTAGATAAAACATCATATAAAATTTGAGAGATGGACAAGGCCATCAAGAAGGGAAGCTGTGGAGTTTTTCGCCAGCCTGGTGAAAACTTATGGGTCTATAAGTGGTTTTTGTTAAGAGTGAAGAAAGAATGTATAATGGTACATTGCTTTAACTAAAAACTGTTTAATAAATGAACAAATACAGAAAGAACAGCACAAGCCTTCTGTGCTACAGAATATGGCAGTGTGTGTGAAGATTTAATGCCCCTGGCAATTGAGAGGAGTACAATATGTAATTCATATTCCTTGACAGTTCCTACTCCTATAAATTAATGTTACTTTTACTAACAGAAAATAAAATATTTTAAAACTGCTTTTTATTAATTAATAAAGAAGTATTCTATATATTTTATTTGTTCAAAAAAATTGGCAAAAGGGATCTGCTCCATTCAAGCTATTTAAGTTCTTGATGGCCCTGGAGATGAGTTTAAGAATTTTCATGTGTTTTGTATTTTGAATTTTAAATTTAAACTAATATAATAAATATAAAAAGTTACTTATATTTAACAATTTATTAGCTTCATTTGTTTCTTTTATCCTAAGTGCATTGCAAATATTTAATCAGCAATCTATGTTGTCTGCATCAACAAACAGAAATACTACAAGAGAAGATTTAAGTTTATATGGTAGGTTAAATTTTCTGAAAAAGATTTTTTTGATTGTATTAGTGTGTATGTTTCATAATATATCAAAGTACATTAGAAAGGGGATATTGGAAAAACAAAATATATATTGCTTAAAAATAACCTATATCAATTATATTAATTATCAATATATCTTTTATCAATTATAAAATTTTAAAATTCATTAAGAAATTTACTAAATACAGTAAATTCCTGCTAACTTAGACCCTGCCAACTTGGACTTTTCATAATTTGGACAAATTTTTCTGAAAAATTTACAGTAATTTAAAATTTTTTGACAATAGAAGAATTATAATTAGTAGAAACAAACTACAAAACTTCAATTTAGTCCAATGATGAAAATTCTTTAAAATGTTTGCAAATTTTTTCAGATTCCTCCTGAAACCAGCTTCAGATTATGATAGCTCTGTAAATATAATGCTTCAGTTATACTTCTAATTATGATTAAAAAGTATTTTTGATATCTAGAAGTTTTTGTAATACCATGCATTATATTATTACAATTGGTACTGAAGATGGTATCTTGCTGTATACTGTGTTGTCATAATATTTTTTGAACTCATTTTTTTGTAGTAATAAATTCCACAATATAACCCACTAATGTTCAGTATAACTTTCAGTATAAAGCTGGTCATAATAAATTACTATATATTTAATTTCTTGTTTTCCATTTTTCAAGAGAAAATGCCCTACTAACTTGGACTTTCATAAACTGACAACATTCACCCCTTATTAGTCTTATTAGGTAGGTTTGCTGTATTTATTACCAGTATATTTTTTGGGAATACATTTTTACAGAATTTAGAATACAGAATACAGAATTACAGAATACAGAATTACAGAATTTTATTATTTGAAAATTTTAATTAATATTACAGAGTATCAGAACAAACATCATCAAAGTTTTGATTATTTTTTAAAAATATAGATATAATATATTCGATTGGAACAAAGCTAGTTTGAAATTAATAAAATAAAATAAATTAAAACACAAAAGCAATGATATAAACAAAACAAATGTTTATATTAACAGTGAAACAGTGAAATATTTATATTAAAAGTGAAAGACAGATGAAAAATTTCTGTCTTTGATGTTACATACTTTAATTATAAAATTTACAATTCACAAAATACAAAAGTAAAAGCTGTTGGATAGTATTGAATTATTTTGTATTTTGTAAATTATTATTAAAGTACTTAATTAAAAGACTTTACTTTTTGATGATGTCTTTGTAGTCTCTTCAAATATTCTTGGTTATATGATACCAAGAATATTTGAAAGCTAAACAAAATTTATTTTTTACTTTTTAGTTCTTTTATATAAATAAAAAAGTTTCTTTAAAACTTTTTTATATTTTTATTATATGTAAAACGTCATCTAGGAGAAAATAGATAAGTCCTGAAAAATCAATGCAGAAATAGCTGAATTCTTTGATGAATCTAGTTGAAAAGATGAAGCAGGAATAATCGTTGAAGATTTGTTGTATTTATGGAGAAAGCTAAATAAAAGATCTTGGTCCATTTCCAATTATATTTATATTCTGAAAAGAAATAGAGGAATTCTGTTCTAATTTAAAAGTTAATTTTATAAAAGGATATATGTTGGAGATGGGCAAATATCTTTTTCTCAAATTTGAATATTAACCAGATCTCAAATACAATAGGAATTTGCCATATGTGACCAATACAGTCAAAGACACCATGTGAAAACAGAAATTTGCATGATACTGTAAATCATAAAAAATAACAAAAAATTGTCAGAAGCAGATTTCTTTTCTCACTAAATCTAAAATTTTAATTTTTTCTTCTGAAAATAGGCACTTTATGTTTTATTATTATTATGAGAATTACCAACATCATTATCATTATGTTTTAGAGCCATGTTTGCAAAGTAATTAGCATAAATAAAACTAAGAGAAATAATAATAAATAAATTTCTTTATATACTAACATATTTTGATTTTTGAGCCATTTCTGGAACCTTGTATTTAGATGCTAAAATTACTTTAAAATATTTTTCAAATGTTCAAGAAGTTATTATTTTTTCTTGAAAGTAGTTACAGTAAAACCTCAATTTAATAGACTTCAAATTTAACAGACAAAATTTCTGTTCCATATGTTATATGTGAAAATTAGTACCCTGTTAATTTTAAAATGCTTTTTATATGTAATTAAATTAACAGGTTATTTTTTGAAATCCATTCATAAGAACATCATTTATTTGTTTAGTTAAATACAATTAAAATGTATTTTCCAAAAACATTTGTTTACTTATTTTGATTTAGATCATATAATTGTTTATTACAGTCTCAGAACTACAGTGAGTACATAAGCAATCATACATATAGAAATTTTTTTTTGTGAAATTAAACTTTTCATACATACATAATTTTTAATTACATAAATGTATCTACATAATAAAAAACAGATAAACTAACTAATTTGTCAATTTTTTACCACATGCATTCAGAAAATCTACTTTATTATATAATGGACTTTTGGCTTTAATGGATATCCCTCACCTGAATTAGTCCATTAATTTGAGGCTGTATTGTATTGGTTAAATATAATAAATTTAATAACGTATTAATTAATTATGATATTTTTAAAGGAATTATTAATAAATGTAAATCAAGTTTTGGCAGCAAGTATNAACACATCATTAATACTAATGTGTAATGTGTATATATATATATACATATATATATATATAAATCTTTTTTTTTTTCAGACATGATATAGTTAATGTAGATGAAAATTCCTTTAGGTAAAGTACACTTTATTTTTATTTTATAATTAAGATTAAATTATAGAAAAATACATGATAATTCTTGAAAGAGCTTTTAAATCTTCCAGTTCTCTTCTTTCATATTCCAGAATTTAAATTTAAATTTTGAGTTTATTGTTTTACTTAAAACTAGCACGTGTTATTGTGGCTCAAAATGTATCTATTATAAATGTATAACACTTCCCCTGTGGGGGGGAAATTTTTCGAAAAATTTCTTCTTAGTGTACATTCTCTTGACATACCCTATTAAAACACAATCAAAAACGCAAAAACCCACACCTAAAATAGTTTAAATAGAAGCAGAGTTCTTTACCATAAGCCTTAATCCTAACCATCTCCCTTCAGTGGGGTTGAATTTTGACATGTATATTATATAAAAACATGTGCTTATTCGAATGCAGCATTGTGTTAAAATTTCAAAGGAATCGGTAGGAACAAACGAACATTACATTTTTATTTATATAGATAGATAGAAGATGATGTGCTTTAGTTCATTTTCACAGAAAAGCATAATGCCTCCACAGAAAACANTTATGATGATGATAATAATAATAATAACTCTCCCATGGTCACCACCTGGTTGTGGTGGGAGAGCCCAGTAATTTTACTGAACCATAGAGCAATGCAGGCTGGAGCACAAGCTCCTGGTAGGGACACCAATGCTAGTAAGGTCTATGGGGAGAAATGAAGCTAAGAGTGACCACACACCCACATTCTGTGGAGATATTTATCATGGTAGTATAATAAATATCTCCACAGATCTAAGTACGATACCGGCTCAGACGTCACCCGGGATAACAAGGTCCGTGTTCGTGGGTTAGGCAGAGGCTCACGTTCGAAAAATAGGCTCCAGTCTCCCTTGGTTACCGGTGGCGAAAGCAGCGCTGGCCCAAGCATGGCTACTGCAATGCCCTCAACAGATGTGAGGAA